GAAAGGGGTATAGATGTAAGCAAAACAGACAATTATATTTTATTGTAAAACCTGACAAGATCGTGAAATCGAAAGTGAAAGCATCTGAAGCCCGGCTTATGACATGTCAAAAGAGGAACTCCCGTTCACAAAATTCAACTCATAAATAATACTACTGATGAAAAAGAACGGGTTGAATGTTAACTACTTTCGTTTCCATATAACTATAAACTACGATAAAAGTTCATCAGCGTGCATTGATTAACAGCATGTTGTAGCGCAAAAAAAAAAACGTGCTCTGCAGCCAACTGAGAAAGTTAATAGCAAAAGAGCGACCAGTGGGAAGAATGAGTCTGGAGCCCTGATTTGCCCAGCTCCCTCTTTCAATGATCTAGCACCCCCTCAGCACCTGTATTTTTGAAAAGCAAAAATTAAGTTTGTTCAACTCTAAACCCAGTCCCCAAGTAAATTAGGTTATTAAATAAAAAACTAGCAAAACGAGTTGCGAGGTGTCCCCACCACTTTTCAAAGCAAAGTTACGCCACTGTATCTGCTCCACTTCGAGAGGGCACTCATGGCAGAACTGTCCGTCTTGACTGTGCTTATTTCACTTCTCCCCTCACTGCAGCCGCCTACTCTACGCCTAATGTCTCTGCGCATTTTTTTCTAACAACTCAGTGCCATATGTATTTGTATCAATGGAAAAATTCAAATAAGTAATTTGTGTCAACACATATTGAAACATTAAAAAAATAAAGTTATTTGTGTGAAAGCATTGCTGATTATTGCCATATAATTCACTTAGTTAATGTTACGTGTTTGTGGTCACAGTTTCATTCGCGGATCCTTATGTCAGATATGACTGACTGACCAATATTGACTAGCCTACAACTTGGATAAGATTCCTAAAAGTTTCGCACCTACAGCACACATTACAGACATTGATGCACAAACGCGGATATGTTCTACATGTATAGTATAAAGAATGAAAATAAACCCATTCGGTTCTTTTTGAGTTGGATGTGCTACTTCGGCTGTGCGTCCTGCGTCATCAGCCCGTAACTAAAGTTCGATTCAGTTCGATTTGTGAACCGGTTCAGTTCGATTTGTGAACCGGTTCGACCGGTTACTTCCTGAGAACCGGCTCAAAAGAACGATTCGTTCAAGAACCGAACATCACTATGATTTTTTTATTTATATGTAAGGAACAAAATTCGTTGTAAAAACATATGTGACACTGGACCACAAAACCTCATAAGGGTCAGTTTTTATTATTATTATAATTTTTTTAAATAAATCTGAATAAATAAGCTTTCCATTGATGTAGCCTATGGTTTGTTAGGATAGGACAATATTTGGCTGAGATACAACTAGGCTGTTTGAAAATCTGGAATCTGAGGGTGCAAAAATATCAAAATATTGAGAAAATCGCCTTTAAAGTTGTCCAAATGAAGTCCTTAGCAATTCATATTACTAATCAAAAATTAAGTTTTAATATATTTATGGCAGGAAATGTACAAAATATCTTCATGGAACATGATCTTTACTTAATATCCTTATGATTTTTGGCATGAAAGAAAATATGATAATTTTGACCCATACAAGGTATTGTTGGCTATTGCTACACATATACCTGTGCTACTTATGACTGCTTTTGTGGTCCAGGGTTACATATTGT